TTTTTTTCTTTTTTCCATCCTTCTTTTCCCTAAACTTCTCTTCCCTGATCTTCTCCTTTCTGATCTCTCCTCCCTAATCTCATTTTTTCTGAATCACCTCTGCAAAAACCCTGTTCCTGTGGCTACACAGAATCACAGCCTTTGGGACAGGAGTCCCCTGTGTTTCTCCTTTGCTAGCAAAGCCATGAACCTTCTTTTTGCTTTTTCTCAAAACCTTGTCTTCGTTATTGGATTGGCCTCAAGGACTGAGCTTTTGGAAACAGGCTGGGAATCCACCCCAGGGCCTGTGGCAATGGGAGGTGAGTGTTCTGTGTTGAGCTTCATTCCAGCCTCTAAGGTGCTAAATTTCAAGTTCTGTGTTTTTACCACAGTTTAAAATGTTTCCAAAGGAAAAAAAATCCATCCTCATGCTCTGCGCTCTGCGTAATGCACCTGCCTGCAGCGGCCTCCTTCCTCCTCCCATCAGGCCTCACCCCCTGAGTCACAGGCCTGCCTCACTGGCTGTCCCCTTCGTTCCCACATGCCCTCTGCCTCCTGTGAACCAGTTTCCCAAGAAGCTGCATCTCCATTAAAGGACTGCAGGCTGCTTGTCCATGGCTGGGCCACGTGACCCTGAATGGTGGCCTGTTGGAGGGCGAAGCAGAGATTATCTTGGGCATTCTTCAGCCTTTGAATATCTGTTTACCTTAATTTTGTACTGTTTTTGTTTTTGTTTTGGAGACTGAATGAAATGGTGCTATACCACTGACCTACATCCCTAGTACTTTTTTTTTTTTTGAGACAGGATCTCATGAAGCTGCCCAGTCTGGCCTTGAACCTGCCGTCCTGCCTCAGCCTCCTGAGTTGCTGAGATTACAGGCCTGTGCCACCGTGGCGCCTGGCCTAACATTCTCATAAGCATCCCAAGTGCATTGGAATGGATCCCTAAGCTGAAGGAACTCCAGCCTTCCCCAGCCGATAATGCCCTTCACCTGTAACAGGGGTCCACTTTATGCTTTAAATGTAGCCCTTGCTGCTCTGTCACTTGCTCCTCCCTAATCTCTGCCCCTCCCCATTCTCATGGGGAAACAGGATTACCTTTCTTTCCCATCCTAGGCACAGATTTATCTGTCCTGAGTACACACCCACCATAAGAAAGAAAGAATCCAGACTTTGGGGATGGTATCAGAAGATCTCAGAAAGGACTATCTCCCAAATTACCAAGTGAATTACACTCCAACAGAGAACACAGGGAAGGCAGTAAGCCTCTTTAGATGCCCCCTGTTCCTGCTCATGGGGAGAGCCACAGTCTCTGGGACAGGACCCTCTGTTTCTCCTTTGCTAGCAAAGTAGTACACCTTCTTTTTCCTTCTTATCAAAATCATGTCCTTGATATTGGATTGGCAACAGAGACAAGGACCAACTTTCAGCAATAAACCTATAGAAGAGATTCCCCATCTGCCTGATATTCCTATCAAAGTACTTGGTAAACGTTTTTAATTATGACTTTCTTTTTTTGTTTCCTGTGGCCTTAATGAGAAACTGATGTGACTCCATTTTTGAAAAACCAGCCTGTGCCTCAGAGTAGGGCCTGTGGGTGAGGGGGATCCTTGTCCTAGGAAAACTGTTCCTAGGCACATAAGCTACCCCATGAGTCATTTGTCTGTACCAGATGTCCTTGACTCAGCAAATGCAAGTTCCTGAAAAGACCAAAAAAATGACTGAGGCCTAATTCGGACCATAGCAACAACCAATCGGAGGGAGTCAGGGAAGACACAGGAAATACCAGGCGACCCTCCCAGTAGTTTTAGGCCACCCTGCAGTTGAGCATCCACACTCTTGCAACCCCTAGAGGCCTAAACCAATCCACCACTTGAACTAATCATGCTTACCCGACTTGTTCCCACCAATAAATGTGCTAATCACTGTTAAGAGTTGTTGTTTGATTTTCCCCGTGGTGTGAAATGATTAACTGTGACCCATAGAGTATCGCCACAAAAACTATAAATCTTCACTGAACTAAGGGTCAGGACTCATTCCTCTGGACCGCTGCGTGGGAAATGGTTGTGAGTCCGGGTTCGAGAGCTTGCAATAAAGACTCTGTGATTGCATCGGATTCGGCTCCTGGAGGTCTACTGGGGTCCCACGAATCTAGCATTACACTAAGAGTTCATGAACTTCTTCCACACAGCTGTCATGGATAACTTGAGTGCATTTTCTGGGCCCCTGATTGCTCATTTGTTTCAGAATAATTTATTTTCTTATTCTTCAAAGTGGAATCATTATTTCAGGCCAACATGCCCTCAGGCAGAGTCTCCCTGGGTCCTCCCATCATGACTCCTCCTCTTTTTTGGCTGCTCTCTGATGGTGGGAGAAAGAAAGTCCCCTCTCTCAGGGGAAAGTCTCCCTGCCTCCTGCCATCATTGTTTATGAAAAACCAGCCTCTATCTCAGAGCAAAGCCTGTCCAAGGAAGGGACATCACCTTTGTCCTTGAAAAGACCCACAGGGCACTCCTAGGCACGTTCCCACACTGATAAGTTGTTTATCTACAAATAACAGGAGAGATCTGCTGGCCAGGTGTCCCTGACTAAATCAGGCTAGGTGGAGACCCACAGTAACCCCCTAGCAGCCACCAATCAGCATGAGACAGGGAAATACCTGGGATGACAGATGACCCTCCCAGTAGTTTAAGGTGGTTGATAACGTTTTGGAAACCATGTAGTTCATCCCAAGGTGCGCACCTTCCTAGGCTGGTGCCTGGACAGCCCAGAGACGGACCAGGGTGGACAGCGCCTCGCTCCTCTTGCTGCCGTCAGCCTGTGGAGGAGAGCTCCTCTGGTGACATGGAGGCTCGTCGCCTTGGCCAGGGGACCAGTGCGTCCCGGGGCTGAGCGGCAAGGAGCCACAGGAGCCTCAATTCCCTGCCCAGAGGAAGGCGGGACAGTGGAGGGACGAGGGACCTGGGGCTGGAGCGACAGGCCTGCTAGGGCTGGGGTTGGGGATGGCCAGGAAGCTCCGGGGGCCCAGCTCCCAGGGGCCCCCAACCCCCGTGGGCTTGGACCAGCTTCTGTGGGTGCAGGGAGGAGCTTTGTGCCCCTGGGGCTTGTGACAGCCCTCTCTTCGTGCCTTTGGGTGCTACTTCACTCGCTGGCATATCTGGCACGTGGATTTCCGACTTAGGACCTAGGGTCCCCAGAATCATGGGGATAGGCTCAGGACTGTGTGCCTCGACCAGGATGAGGAGAGTGAGAAGGTGCCTGGGCATTGGGATGGGGCTGCAGGGAAGGCTGGGGTCCCAGGAGGGATGGCCTGGGCTAAGCCTGTCCCCAGCCTGAGGAGGCCCCTGTCCTGTGCAGATCCTGGCTGTGGACAGCGTTTGCTCAGCCTGTTGGGGGCAGAGGCTGTGGAGCAGAAGGCCCAGGAGATCCTGCAGCTGGAGCAGCTGGGGGCTGCTGGGGCTGGGGCAGGAGCATGGCAGGGCTGGGTCAAGTCTGATCTCCATCCAAGATCACTGTCAGTGTGATGGCCTCTGGTGAATCTGGGCAATATGTACAAAAAGGTGACCCTAGGACAGCTGCAGACAATCCATCCCCACCTGAGTGTGGCCAGACCTTGTGTGCAGGCAGGTGTAGGGGCTGAATCTGGGACTCTGTGATCGCCCTCCCCAGGGATGGGTGAGGCTTTCTATAGAGCTGGACTCCTGGTCTTCCTGTCCCATCCCTGCCCCTTTTCCTCTGTGGTCCCCACCCTGTGCCCCCAGCTGAGATGGAAGTGGCTGCTGGACCAGATCTTCCAGGAGGACTTCTCAGAGGACGAGGAGGTGGTGCTGCTGGCCACAGACTACATGCAGCAGGTGTCCCAGCTCATCCACTCCACGCCACACAGGTGGGGCTGCACATCCCCCACGCCTGGACCCCACGTCCCCCAGCCTCCCCCGTGCCTGCTTCCCCGACCCTGGATCCACCTGCACCTGTGCCTGTGTGCAGGAGCCACTGTGGGGAGGCGGTGGGGAGCCTGGAGCAGGAGTGCAGTCCTGGGTTCTGGTGCTGGAGCTCCCCCTGCCTGTGGAGCTGGGCAGGCTGTGGCCTGCTGAGCTGCAGTCCTCACTGGGGATGCAGGGGCTGGCTGACAGGGTGGCTTCTCTGAGGGAGGGTGTGGCCGCAGTTCTGCTGGCCCAGGGCCAGCTTCCTGGCCTCTGCCCTCCTTGGGGAGGAGCAGGGGCTGATCAAGGCCAGCCCTGAGACAGAGAGCCCTGAGTGTCCCCTGTCCACCCCATAGCAAGTCAGGAAAGGGTGCTGGCTGTGACCCCTCAGGGTCAGGGCTGGTCAATAGCAGGACTGTGTCCTGTTGTGCGAGTGGGGCTCAGGACACTTCAGGCTGAGGCCCTGCTTACCAGGACTGACCTGACAGCCCTTCTCTGAGGACAGTGTGGGGACCTGGTCCAGCTCCTGTGTGGGGTCACTTGTGCGACAGGTGGTTCCCTGGGGTGGCCCCCATGCCTGTGTGTTTAGACATCCCCTGTTGCACCTCCCCCCAGGATTCTGCACAACTACCTGGTGTGGTGTGTGGTCATGGTCCTGATTGAGCACCTGTCCCCAATGTTCTGGGAGGCCCTGCATGAGCTGGCCAGAGAGATGGAGGGCAGTGGCAAGCCCCAGGAGCTGGCCCTCGTCTGCCTAGGCCAGGCCAACCGCCCTTTGGCATGGCACTTGGTGCCCCTCTTTGTATATGAGCACTTCTTAGCTGCCAGAAAAGCCAAGTTGGGTTCATAATGGGCATCCAGGTGGTGCATGGGATGCCCTCCATGTCTCCCTGTAGCTGGGCCCCCAAGCTGCTCCTTGCTAGCACCGCCTCCCTTCTGGAAGTTTGCCTTCTCTTTGGAAGCCCTTGTCGCTATGCTCGGGAGCTGGTGCCTTTGACATGGACCCATCTATTGCCAGGGGTTTCCTCATTGCACACTGGGAGCTCCTTATCAGGGGGCAGGGTGGGCATGTCCCAGGGCACCAAGGCCACCACACTGGGCTTCTGCATTGCTCATGCCTTCACTTGTCCACATCTTACTCACTGTCTGCTCTGTAGGCACTTGACCCTGGCCTCTGTGTCACAATTATCCAGCCCTCCTGCACTTGGGCCCCACATACTCATGGTTATGCAGATATTACTGGGAGTACATTGTATCATAGTTTATTGCTTTTTCTCCAGGAAAATGGTGGCCCCAGAGGGGCAAAGGAACTTCTTTGTTCCGTAATCTATGCCCAGAGCCTAGATGGTCTGGGGAGGGGACTGAAGGCTGCCCTGATCTGCTGCTCTAAACCCCACAGCTTCCTGGGTGTCTCCTTGGGAATGTTTGCCTGGGACATCCTTGCCTGGTGTTAGGGGGCCAGCACTGAGGAGCCCAGTGACTTGGGCTTCCTGTGTGTGCACTGCTACTATTGGCACCTCTGAAGAGTGCAGAGTGTGTAAGTGGGGCAGTGAAGGGTAGCTGAGGATATGCCACAGCCTGCTGGGAAGCTCCACACCCAAGCCCTCCTTGGCTGGCAGGGTCAGTTGCAGGGTCAGTGGGAGGGTGGTAGGATGCCCACCTCTTTCAGCACTGTCCACATGCTGGAGGTCTAGGGGACCTACGATGCTGTAGAGACTGAAGCTGAACAGCACTACAGGGTCAAGGCCAGTAGTGGCTTGGTGGGGACGCCTCTGGAAAAGTGCCTTCATGGTATTCCCCAAGGCTGCAGGTTCTGTGGAGTGGCCCTTCTGCATCCTCTGCTTCTCTGGAGCGTAGGCAGTTGAAGTCAGGAAGCAGAGTCCCAGAGCAACCTGGAGAGATGTGAGTGTCATGGTATTAGCCTCTGGGAAGCACTATGGTCCCTCTGCAAGGGACATCTAGTTTAGAAGTGCTGAGCATCCTGAGGCTGCTTCTCCCAGAGGTGAAGGCACCATGGGAAAAGCCCTGTGGTGGTTCTGGAGGTGACAGCTTGGAGTGTGGCACTGGGCTGGAGTCCCCACATAGAGGCACAGGAAGCACCAGGCACTGGAAGCAGGAGCCAGTGGTGGGGACCTGAGGTGAAACCAGGGACAATCAGGAGCACAGTGGAGCACCCTGAGATCCTGTGGTCAGGGCTGGGCGAATGCCCACAGCAGCAGCAGCAGCGTCTCAAGCAGCAGCGTCAGCGACAATGAGGCTGCAGCAGAGCTGGAACCCCCAGGGGTGCTCTGGAGGGTCGGGGAGGCCAGGTCGCAGGCCTCATAGGGCTCCAGGCAGGCGGCGAAGGCCATGACGTGCGCGATGTAGTTCTGCTCCTGCACCCCGTGCACCAGGTGCGCCTTCGGGCCACGAGCGAACACCGCCACGTCCTCGCCTCCGTGCGTCTCCGATGACAGAGGCACAGCTGCCTGCTGCTTGTAGGTGCGGGCACCTGGCGGGAAGAGGAGTTCAGGGCGGGAGAGTCCCCCTCCACCCCTGTCCCCAAGAAGAAGACCTTTCAATGGCCGCACTCACGGATCTCATCCTCCGTGACGTCTGGTCGGTTGCACGTAGAGTTCTGCACGTAGCCGGGGCCATTGCCATACAGGATGGACGTGTACGACTTGCCGTCCTGGGCCTTGAGCGGGGCCAGCCCTGCGGGGACAGGGGGCACCTGAGCTCACCGCCGTCCCCCCGGGGACCCCAGTGTGGCGCACAGGCGCCTTTCGCCTTGTCACCAGCTTACTCCTCCCAAGAACCCACCCCCGGCGCA